GAATTTTATTCTTGTTTTATACTATAACTTTTGTTTTATATAATCTAATTTATTGTATTTTTACATCAAATATTTTATATAATTAATATTATTGTATCCAATTTTACTAGCACTGCGGTTCAGTGATGTGTATATACGTTAGCCATGTATTTGCCTGATGATGGCTATTAATAGCCGAAACATGTAGCAGAGCCAAACTAGGCAGTGACCTTAATATTGTTGTGTTGTGACAGTTTTAATAAAGAAGTTGAATATTAAGGTTATTACCTGAACAATTTGAGAGACTGCAGTGTAGGTTTTACTGATAATGGGATTTATGAAATATGCCATTGATATGGCCTCAGGTGGCGTTACATGCATACCAAGTACCATGATGATCTATTTAGACATTAGAAAGTTGCTGGGGGAGGGATACACACATAGACACACACACAGCTGAGAGATATCATAAGCCTAACTCTACAGAGTCTGAGTACTTGAGAAGATTCCAGTCACTTGGCTACTCAAGAATTTCACAGTAGTTCATGGAATGCAAATGTTATTAACATGTTCACAGGAGCCCTCCATTGGTCTATCCTGAGCTAGATGAATCCAGTCCATACCACCCTATCCTATCTCTCTAAGGTCTGTTTAATATTATCCATTCACCTACGTCTTGGTCTTCCTAGTGGTCTCTTCAGGCTTTCCCACCAAAATCATGTATACATTCAGCCTCGCCCCAATTCCTGCCACATGCCCTGCCGATTTCATTCTCCTTGACTTCAGCATTCTAATTTTATTTGATGAAGATTACATGTTATGAAACTTATAATTTTGCAGTTTTCTCAAACCTCCTATTATTTCATCCCTCTTTGGTCCAAATCTCCTGAGCATGCTGTTCTCAAACACCTGTGGTCAGTGTTCCTCCCTTAATGTCAGAGACCAAGTTTCACAGTCACGGGCAAAATTATAGTTTTGTATATTATAATTTTTACATTTTTAGACAGCAGACAAGAGGACAAAGGATTCTGGACTGAAAGGTAGCAAGTGTTACCTGAATTCAGTCTACTCTTAATTTATTTCTGAATCAAATTTTGATTTGTTACTGTTGTTCCCAAATATTTGAACCCTGCCACATTTTCAAAGGATCTGTTAGCTACCTTTATGTCGTGATTCTGCCCTGCATTCTGGTGACAAGACAGCAAAATATACTTAGCTTTCTCTGCGTTTACTTGTAGACCAACCTCCTTACTAGTATAATTAAAGTGTCTGTGTTTACTTCTAGATGAACCTCCTTACTAGCATGAATTAAAGTTTCTGTGTTTTACTTTACTGTATGTATGTTATCTCCGAGAAGATTCACATCATCAGGACAGACTAGAAGCTGACTTGTCCCATTTCATTTCAGGCCCACCAATTTCCTTCGGCTTTCCTAATGGCCTGTTATAAAGCAAAGTTGAAAAGCAGTGGTGATAAAACATGTCCTTGTTTTAAATCATTCTGAATAGGAAAATTATCAGACAAATGTTTGCCTATGCAGAGTTTGCTATAAAAGGTAAGGTAAGAAAGTTGAAGCTATCTCTGTAACAGACCCTGAAGGCCCATATGGTTGTGAGACCTCAGGGCTCCCACATTTTCTCTAGATATTTGATTCACAGACGGCGGTAAGGTTGTCAGCCTTACGCGCTGACCACCCTTTAACCCCCAGGAAGCTGACCCTCCATAAAGCTCTTATTAGATCCGTAATGACTTATGCTAGTCCCGCTTGGGAATTTGCGGCAGACACCCATCTAGTGAAATTGCAACGCCTGCAAAACAAGGTTCTCCGCACCATTGGCAATTTTCCAAGGCGCACACCGGTCCGCGAATTGCACACGGCATTCAAAATTCCATACGTATATGATTACATAACAAAATTATGCAGGAAACAAGAGAAGTCATACAAAATCATGATAATGAGAATGTTTGCAACATCGGACAAGGCGAAGCCCGACACAGAAAGTATAAGAGGCTTAAACTTGGCGGCCGTCAGGCATATGACCGTTCAAGTGACTAGACTGCCGTGGTAGCGAATACTACTAGAAATAGGGCATAATCTGCTATACTGAGCCTGGATTGACAGAGGCCTTGTATATATTGTACGTAGAAATAGGAATTAAGATTAAAAATGTAAATATATGTAAATACTGACAATGGACATACTAATACGGACTATGACTGACAAATGACAGACCCAACCTCTCGTCAGAGAGGGCGCCCCAAATGAGCAGGACAGTAACTTTCATATAAGAAAAAAAAATCTGGTCATGAGCCCCACTCGGGGCTCGACACCAAGACAGACAGACTGACGGACTGTCAGTCGCAATGTGACTTGGACTTGGACTTAAGAAGTTAGTTAAGTCAGTTCTCGGTGGAAGTTCGGCCTGTGAATTAGAAGACTTTGTGTGTGCTGTATTGCAGTGATATCTGGAGTGAACTGAAATTCCAGTTTCCGTGTTGAGATCCGTCGCTACGAGACGATTAGTAGAAGACAGAGAATCCTAATGCGTGTGGAACGGTGAGCTGAGTGTACATCAGCAATAGCGCTGTATTGCGTGTATTTAAGTGTAATTAAGCCGGTCACGGTAGTCGAGCGGTCTAAAGCATGCACTGTCTTCGCTCGCTCGGAAACTGGGATCATGGGTTCGAATCCCACTCAGGGCATGGATGTTTAGTGTTGTGTGTGTGTGTGTTTGTGTGTACAGGTAGACGCCTAGCGACGAGCTGATCACCCGCCCAAGGAGTCCTACCGAACGTCTAAGATCTAGTAAACCGAAGTGAAATGGAGAGTTTCGTGGAGGTAGGTCAAGGCCCAAGCGCTAAAGGGAAAAAAGAGAGAGGGTGTAACCAAAGTGCTAATAAATCCAATTATTCGAACCAGAACCCGCCATTTCATCACACGTACCACACTACACGTGAAAATATATTTGCAGCTGCCCTCCATATCTGGAGACTGCCTCCTCCATCCACAACCTGAAGATGCGCCATTCCATGGTGACAAGGGACCCACTCAACGTGGTACAAAATTTTACCGCAGGATTAAAAGTAAAATTTCTAATGTAAGATTGTCCCCATGCCATGAAGACATGTGAGGGAGTGAAGGTAGAACTCCAAGTATTCTTAAACTTAGAACTACTGTGGTGTTATTATTTAAAGATCTCTAGCCCCAGCTCTGTGTGACAGCCAATACCATTTCATCCAGAAAACAGCACTGTTGTCAGATCTTTACTTTCGACTTCAAACCTTGATGCAGAAACAGTTTTTGTTCACTTCTGCCTTCAACTGTGCCAGCGAAGCTCATAAACAACATGGCTTCATATTATATACATATTATAACCAACTTCACAGAAGTCCACCTATAACGTACAGAAACACAAAACTGATTAAAAATGTATTAATGCGCTTTTATAATAAGACTGCAGTTTCGAATCATTTTAACATTTTATAAAGTAGGCAATATGCTACAAGCCGGAAGGTCGCGGGTTCAAATCCCGATGAGGTAATTGGATTTTTTTTTCCAATTTACGTAATCCTTCCAGCCACACTATGGCCCTGGGGTCGACTCAGCCTCTAGCAGAAATGAATACCAGGAATTAATTAAATAATTTTCCAGGGGAATAAAGCGCGGCCGGCGCAAATTAACAACGGACCGTTTATTAAGAGTCTGTCTTCGTGGTAACTCGTTCCAAATCCCGTCGCCCAGCAACGGGTTGACATGTCACAGTAATCATCGAAGTCCATAACTTGAACTTGGGGACATGGGTAGGCGGCTGGGATTCTGCGCATCCTCACTTTCCTCGTTACGTTATATTCTCTGACGATGCGCTGTTTACCTCAGAGAGAATCAACAGTAGTAGAAACTGCCATTTGTGAGCTCAGGCAAATCAACGAGGAATAGCAGTAAATCAGGATGTTCCCCTGAAAACATGGTTAAAGATGTTACGGACGGTTAAAGACTTACAGCATTTAAGAGGTACTCACGTATTTGAACCGACATGTGATGAAGTCAGTAACCAAATGAGCAGTTTCCTGATGATGGATTGGCCACGGTGGTCAGCAGAATTTGCCACTGCAGTTACCGGACCTCACTTCATCACATTTCCGCGTATGGCGTTAGGTGAAAAATTTTCGATGCTGCAAGATGCATGAATGGCCCTGACGTACCACGTAAGGTTACATGTACCAGATAAGTTACAACATGAATCCAAAGCGAAGGTGGTAATTTTAACAATTATTAAAGTGAACTGCACATTCATCTTCTTTTAATAAAGCTTGATCAAGTCCGTTCAAATCATTTTAAATTTCAAATTCCGTAAACCTTGGAGACAGGACACATGCATATATGACACATCTAACTGAAAATTAAATAAGAACTTAAAGTACTGATATAAACTCACTGGATATTCTGCACAAATCTTTTTATTCAATTAGGGAATATTTGATGAGATAAAATAATTATTATTTATAATCTTACGTTGCGTTATTAGGTTTGTAACAACATAATTTCTCTACAACTGATTAAGGTCAATGGGGTACAGTCACACAAAGTAGCAAAGAAGGTACATATCTGGACAATATACATACGTATACTAGCATATTTCATTGAAGAAGAATAGCTTAACCTTTTCGGTGCTGTAATTGGATTATTTGAAACAACAGTGCTATTACAGTGCGGGCCAGGCGCATGTAAATGCTAACTCATCCCCTGACAGCCCACAGATAAAAACCGCAGCTGTTAGGCGGCCAGCCTATTGAGACATCTGGCGGGTAGCTGTCCCTCCGTAATTACTACTGCTTCTGTACGCTTAAGTCCAAATTGTGTCCCTCGGTGCATATATATATATATACGAGTATATCTTCCTCAAGAGAGATCAGTTTCGCTTCCTGTGTCTGAAGAAAGAGACAGCAAAACACTGACGTATGATCAGAAATACAAGTTAAATATGCCTGGCGCTTAACAAAATACAAGTATACTCGCTGTATATTTCATACAATTAATTACTCCTTTATTGTAGCATCCTGTTGCACATCACTTATTATTCAACAAATATCACTGGATCATACAATTCTGTTCATAAGACAAATTCATAAGTCAGCGTTAAATGTTTAGATCAAAGAATTAAATCAATTCTTTGATCCATCATTAAGCTTCACTTCACAATTTCAAATAATTACTTGATAACAGCTACCGAACTTCGCAGGGGCTCGGCTCAGTCTTGGCGAGTAGGTCGGCTATCCTGACTAAGAGTTTTGTAATTCTACTCATTCGCCCCAGGCAAATTCTGGGGTAGTAACCTACAATGGATCAGAACTACGAACAAGAAAAAATAATAGACTACAAGATTTCAGGTTTCCAGTGACACCGTGCTGCATAGGTGCCGGTAGGTTGGGGGGAGGGAAAACACACAGGTGCCCCCTTGTATTTTTGAAAAAATCGAATCTGAAAGGAAGAAATGTACCAAAATTAACAACAAAAATTAATTAAAAACGTTTTCTATCTGGAATACAAAAGCGTTTAACAAATGACTCATTAAAAATGTTCTTAATTGGACTAAACACGTTTGTAAGCAAATTTTCTGCCTGCTACCTCCGCCTCCCTGGAAAAAATTCCTGACGGCGCCCATGCAGTTCCATAGTCTGATAGGTGGGCACCAATACTTCAAAGGAGCATACAGTCTCCCATTTTACCAGCTTGGTTCACTCCTACCCGAGATGGAGGTGGAATACGCCCTCTAAACCACGCGGTGTTGTACCCCCGAAGACTACAATGAATTCAGAAATGTATGCAGAATTTGAAATAAGACATTTGTAAAATTTGTTTTCACCGAACTACTTGTATCTTCTGTTACTGTATGTTGTTCTCAACCTTTTTACCACCACGATCCAATTTTCATAGTCCACTGAACTCATGAGCCATTACAAAAAATGAAATGAAATAAACCATACAGAAGAACAACTTCTTATTAAAAACTGAAAGTATAACAACTCGCGTAATGGGAAAGCTGTCCTCATACAACGCGCATAGCGATACACGCCGACAAATGTCGTTGTTGCGAAAGAGGCATATGATTTGAAATTCTAATTCCACTGGTGAATATTGTAACGGGGTTATAAAGCGAAATGGAATGAGCTGGAAATTTAACTCCGCAACGTACATTAAGACACGAGGTAGAACATGCAAGGACGTGGGCCTAAAAGAGTACAAGAGCTCTAACGATAATTCTCGGATCGTGTCTTGCACAGAGATGAGGAAAATTGAAACAGTATCTGCAGTGACAATGAACAGTGCACTCTGATAGCAGCTGTGAAGATCTCTTTGAAAACTGTTTATAAAAGCATGACATAAGCTAAATCGTTGCGTAATAACCGTTAAATGCGATACACAAATTTGACATAGAAAAAGACATCCGAGCTGACTACGTCATTAAAACTGCGAAACTTCATATGCAATAAAATGTCTGGATATTAGTTCATTTTCCATAACCGTTCGCTTTTGTCAGCTCTATTATGGTTCGTTTATTAAAATGAAAATAAAGTGTTTTAATTAGTTCTATAGTTTTATGTGTAATTTTTTTTTAACTTAATAAAAGTTAGTCACTTAAAATTTTCACACGTTTCGACCGAATTGGTCCTCATCATATGTTAAAAATTGTGGGTCTACTGTCTTTCTGCTTTGATGTTTAGTTGTTGGTGTATGGTTCCCCTAGTGGGCATGTGTGTATTCCTCCTTGCTGTGTTACGTTATGTTCCTTGCCTTGTTTCCAGCTGCTTGCTGAGCTGGTCTGGTTCTTATTCTTATAATGACAAGGAGCATGATGCGACGGGGAACGTAACACAGCAAGGGGGAATACACACATGCCCACTGGGGGAACCATACACCAACAACTAAACATCAACGCAGAAAGACAGCAAATTCCTTCCCCCGTAACTGTTAAGACTTGATGATAACCATTTCGGTCGAAACATGTTGTTAAAACTTCCAAAGTCACTAGCATTTATCAAGTTTTAATAAAACTGTTGCACGTAAGACTGTAGAACTAATTAATAACACTAAGTAAAACTGCAACATGATGCTACAACAGGCGTGATTTTAATAATGTATTCGCGACCCATAAACTGAGAACCACCGAAGAAACTCACAGCCAGGCTGCGTCTTCCCCTGTCACAGAGTTACGGGCAGGTGCCAACCTTTTCAACTTCCGTAATTCTTTTTTCTTTTATGGTCTGCAATCTACATGAACATGCAGCTGCATCTAAAGAAGGAAGACAACTAGAGTAGGTTCACTTCCTATCCTTTGCACATCTGTAAGAAACTTCCGGCCAAGGCAAGCCAAATCGAACATAGTGTGATAATACAGTCAGTTTCGTTGGACAAAAGCGACTGTGTCTCGGCATTTATACCAATATAACGCAATCTGTCTCTCTGTACATTACAATCGGAATGTGTCTGCCTGACAGTGAGCTGGCACGTATGGGTTGCAGGTTCGGCCGGCAGCATGATCTGCCAATAATAGTCTCTCTGTCGTCAGTTGACGCTATTGTACTGAAAAGTACTTATTTAAGAGATGTTACTGAAACCTGTGTAGCTCAGCTGGACAACTGGGGTTCGATTTCCAGCAGATGCAAGAAATATTTCTTCTCTCCATAGATCCCAGAACAGCTCTGGGGCACACCCAGCCTCGTATCCAATGAATATCGGGGATAAAGGGACAGGAGCTTCAGACTGACCACTCACCTCAATCTTCTGTCCCCATATATTTCTTGATGGCATAATCCTTAATTAAATAATTAATTGCGGGGACAATTTTACGAATTTTAAAATTTTATTTTGCATTTATTCAGTATTGGATGTTGTGATGGGACTACGAGTATGCGAAACGGAAACCCTAACATTTGCCTTATTTATGAGCGTAAATGCAGAGCCGGGATAGCGAATGGCTACGGGTTGGACAACCGAGGGATCGGAGATCGAGAAGTCGTAGGGGCAAGAATTCTCTTTCCTCCACGTCGCCCACAACGGTTCTGGGGCCCATCCCTATCTGGGGATCTTTCCCGGGGAATGAAGCGGCCGAGGCGTGAAGCTGACCACTCACTTCCAACTAGTACCGAGGTCAGGAAAACATGGAACTCTATAGCCACTCCCCTTCATGGCGTAGTGTTTAATTAGTTAAGCACCGGGCAACTTTACCTCCATGAACGGAAATACACTAAGTACGTACATTGAGCAAAGAGCTTGGGGCGCGTTTCAGAGAGTGGGTGTCGAGCCGGAGTGTCACAGTGTGTGTGCGTGTGGAGGTGAGGCCCCCAGTTTTTTTAGTGTGCGCCCTCTCGGGTTGCCCCCGGTAGAGGGTGAGTGACCAATAGCACTCAGACCCCTCCTCTTGTCGAAGAGGGGGCCCCATTTCAGAATGTGCAAAAGTCTTGGAAGAAAAAATTTGGTCATAGGTCCCGACGGTACCTGGAACGAAGATCTGCTATGTTGGCGAGGTCCAGCAGAGGCGTTCCTGAGAACCTACTAGTATCACAGCTGGTCAATAATCCCCACCATGAATAGAATTACAAGACCCATTACTGTGTTCTGAAGAGCGAACAGCTGGTGCTTACCCTAAGATAGATGAATCAAGTTAATAGAATCATATTTTATTTCTTTAAGGTCATTTTTATTATCGTAGTCCATTTTCGCCTAGGACTCCGAAATTGTCTCTTCCCTTCAGGTTTCTTCTCTAAAATTGTGTATCCAGTTCCCATCGGTCCCGTGCATCAACTGTCTCTTCGTTCGTGATTTGATCACCCTAATAGTCCTAACTGGTGAACAGTACAAAGCCGAGAGCTCGTCATTATAAATTTTTCTGCAACTTTTAGTTACTTCCTCTCTCCTAGGCCCAGATATTCTTCTCACGATCTTCAACACAGGTCTAAATTATTCTCTTAATGAGAGAACAATCTTAAAACCCACGCAAAACAACAGGTAAAATTATATCATTCTATGCTTTATTCTTTTATATTTTTAGATATGTGGTATTTCTTTTCCTGTGGCACTACAGCCCCAGTGGGCCTAGGCCTACCTCCGTGAAACTCTCCGTTTCACTTCGGTTTACTAGATCTTACACATACGGTAGGACTCCTTGGGCGAGTGATCAGCTCGTCGCAAGGCCTCTACCTGTAGACAAACACAGAAAAACGCACACAAACATCCATGCCCTGAGTCGGATTCGAACCCACGATCCCGGATTCCGAGCGAGCGAAACAGTGCACGCCTTAGACCGCTCGGCTACCGTGACCGGCAGGTATGCGGTATAGTACAAAATAATTCTGAAACATAAATATACCATTTATCCATTCTAACTTGTTCTTAATTTATTCTTGAAAGCACTTTTGACTTATGAGCGTCGTTTACTAATATACGGATTTTACGACATGTTTTAAGTACTTGTTAGTTATTTTTCTTGTTACAAGGTTTCCCTGAATTCTGTTAAAAGACATGAACACACACTTACATACTTCTCTATATTCATTTATAGACCAACCACCTTCCTAGCATCTACGGCAGCTTCTGCGTTTTTATTCCTGTTCTTTCTTTTCCCTATGAGACTAGCACCATCAGAGAAGACCAGTAGCTGAACTGCCTCTTCCTTCTGACGCTAATACAGTGTCTCCTAGCTTCATCCCATATTCACGTTTATTTTCCAAATGTACTCATTCTGATGAATGTTCATCTAACTGTTCTCCTTACCGTGACGACCAACACCATCGAAACATGAATTTAAATATTATCAGTTGCAAAACTTATAACTGATACATCCCAATAAAACAGGTTAACAGTTCAGCAAGAGGTAATACTCTACAACAGAAAGCGTGCGAACGAACGATTTTATGTAGCTTCACGCCAGCTGCTTCACTCCTAGTACAGATTGGATAGGAGGCTGCGTGAGCCTCAGAGACTATCTGAACCTTGGGGAATAACAAAAATTTCTTGCTTATGCCGGGAGTCGAAACCATGTTTCCAGGCAATATGCATACTGAGCTGTACCGACTCCTCCTCCTAATAAAGAAAACACGTTAATGCTACTTAAATACACTTGGGGAAAAACGAAGATTTTCTATTACGTAAAAGTAAGTGGTGAGCAGTGTCAACACCGCTTCGAAGGTCCAAGAAAGAGCTTGGTGTACGGACAGAGAATGGCAGTCTACTGACTTATGCATAGTGATATCAGCAGCAGAGCAGTGGGTAGTTACAGCGTGTAAACCCAAGGAGCACCCTGTAATTAAGAGCATTCGGACGATATGTGAAGCTATCTCACAAGCATGCTCTTTCTTGGCACATACAGCTGTTTCAATGTTGATTAGGATTTTAGATTTAATTTATAAATTCCTGCAAATAATAGAAGAGGTTAATAATAGAATCAATCTTTCCCCTTCATCTTAGTTTAGTTTAGTTTA